ATTTACATAATTGATCGATGGCAATAAAATGGACAAATTGATCTTCATAGAAGATCTACATGGCAATAAAATAGACTTAATATACTACCAATTAAATCTATCTAAAATTTTACTCGTCACAACGTAGAATGTATCGAAGTACTAGCATCCAGAGGATAAACAATGATTAGAAGAATAGATGACAGATATTCTTCTTCATTTAGAAGACATTCTGAAAGTATAAAAAACGAATTAAGATAATATTACAAGATGCAAGTAATAAGAGTGTATATGGAATATTTAATAAAATAAATTTATAAGTGAGAAGCATATCACTATGTCTATCCTATATTACTCTATATCCTAATACCTGAGTCATAAAGTTGTTACCTGGTTGAGAGGTCATCAGCCTCTTCATTTCTCCTTTTCAGTATTTTACATTCGTTTTCAACTCTTCTTCTTCCTGCTTCAGTTGTTCTTTCTCCATTATCTACCTCTTCCTCTCTCTCATACTTTCCCATTCTTCAGCCGCCAAACTTATCCTTAGATTTCCTAACCTTTCCAACTTCCTTTTAGCTTCATCATACTCCTTCTTCACGTTATCATATGGTGTGCTTATGTTTCTTTATGATGATGTGAAGGACGAAACTTTTTCATTGGAAAAATGTGCTGCGTAGTGTGATATAATGCTAATCAGTGGCTTAATCAATGACGTATTATTAGGAACTTTCTAGACCTTTTCACAATATAACGATTGTTCTCTAGATGTAAAATGTGACCAATGATAATCAATGTGTAGAAATTCACACATGTTGATACACATTAATGATATTTAGTTCAAATATCGTGATTTATAAAAGGTTTGCTATAAAAAATGACTGAAATTGAGCTATTTTACGAAAAAGCTTTGCGAACTGCTTTTATAAAGTGTTGTAACAAACAATTTCTTGTTCCTAGTTTCAAGACTCAGTAAGACCTCAATTGACTTAAATTAGATAAAATTAGTAACTGCATTAGTGAGTGAGTCTAATGCAAGGTAACTAACAGACTTCATTATTTTAAAATGTTGCTCTCACAAGCAAATTCATTTTCAGATTATTGATCAAAATTATCATTGGATATTACCTTTATTATAAAATCCACAACGATCAGCTGCTTATTATAAATCAGAAAAAGTAGATGATAGTAGTAATATTAATAATGATAGTAATAGTAAAGAAGATAACGAAAGTTAAATTTGCATGTGACCAAAGATAGGTTATACTCATTAATGGCTTTGGGTCTAAGTATTTTCCTCCTATACAATCACTCTGATGCATTTAGTATTATTATATTTTCAAGAGTGCGCGTACGTTCAATAATCGAAATAATAAAATTTATGCTTATAAAGAAATTGAATTATTTTTAAAGTAGTCAATATGGCCAAAGCTCAATAAATGTATTCAAACAGTAACAGTTCTTTATCAACAGGTCAAAAACTATAAGGAATATTAAACTGCTTTCCCTTACCTGTCTTTTAATTTTCATTTTTTTCTTAGTTCATTATAAGTTGCTATTAATGCTCGTTTAGTACTTTGTATTTTTCATTCTTCTTGATAAATTTCATAAGTGATTTTTTCTTGATCTAGATATTTTTGGAGAGTTTGGGTATCATTGATTTTAAAAATATAAGAGGCAATTTTTTCACCTTGAGCTTTTTTTAGAATACTTTTAATGGTGCTGTAATTTTTAGGTTCCATAGTGGATTTGATGTAAATTAGTTTTATATTAATATTTTATATATAGAGGTAATCTTATATTAATCCTGTTATGGTTTATATTTATCACATTCTGGTATGATAAAGAGAACATTAAAGTTAACAAGTCCACAAGTTATAAATGAGTACTATTATTATTTTTCAAAACGTTATCAGTTACACTGGTCAATTTTATGATCACATTATAATCAGTCTCTTATTTATGTTACATAATAGAATGTTCACTTTGTCTGGTTTTGTTGCAGTCTGTCCTAAATAATATAAGTAAAAAATTCAAATATTTTTGAAAAATTGATTTTTTATATGTAAAAATTATTTTATTACACAAGTATAATTTTATAGATGATTTGTAAAGTATCACTTATTACATTATATGCATTTTAATGAAAATCAAAAGGTATTAATTTATATCACATATATCTATATACATTGTAATAAAATAAATATATTATTTTATTAATATAATATTCAGAATTTTAATTAAGGACTAATATGAAAAATTCAGTATATAAACTTGTAATTATCTTCAAATTTGAAAAATTTATAATAAGATTTTTATTTCAAATTTTATATATGAATTTTAATGTCAAATTTTTTATATTTTTATTGATTTACTTTATTTTTTTCATATTTTAAAATTCTGATAAAGTTTTTAAAATTATAATTTTTATTAATATAATAATTTTGAAATTTTATAATCATTTTAATAATTAGACTAATTTATCTTTAACAACTATATATAGCCTTATTAATATAATAATTTAAAAATAAGTATATATATTATATTAATTAATCATTTATATAACTGATTTTTTTTTGCTTCTATCTAAATAGTAGCAAAATAATGATTATACTCATTTTTCATATAAAATTAATCAATTTTTTATTAATAAAATAAGTTTTACTATGAGAAACCTAAAAGCATCTTTTCATCAGAAGTACCATCATTTCTTACTATTTTTCAAATTTATTTTGTTAACAACTTAGACCTTTTTTTGTAATTTCTTTAAGCTTATTAGATAACTATTATATAAAAATTTTCAAAATCATAATTATAGTATTTAGTAATTAAGAATCTCTTTAAGATCTTAATATTATTGTTACTAAATTTTTTGAAAAAAAAAAATATTATGTTATAAGAAAATCTTAGACGCATTTGCACTACGTTGCATAATCCCTTTAGAACTTATTAATGCAGCAGGCTTTTGTAATAATGGGGGAGATGTTGATTTATCTCTTTCTTTTATGCAGTATTTTTTTACTATAATCAGTTTATAAATTCATAGCTAATTATACAAGAATTATATAAATATAATACTGATGCCAATTTATTCTTTTCTGAATGTGAAAAAGATTAGAATGAAATCTTCAGTTGAAGACACTTCATTTCAACCTCTTTTCGTAATATGTATTATTTATATTACCAAATATAAAATTCTTTTAAAGTAATAGATTGGAAAATTTCTTTTCTTTTTACATGTTTTTTGAAATAGTATCTTTAGTAATGCATCTCTTCAAGTGAATATCTACATAACGTGACATATCCTTTTCAAGAATAAATACACATACAGTGTAATATATATAAATTGTTTTTATTCTGAAAGGAAGGAACCTTCCATTACCACTATTAGTGTCATAAAACTTTGCATTTATTTGAATATATCTATTCTAGAAAAGATTTCTGAACTCTTCAAGTATTTTTCTAAATGGACTATGAATACGAGAGCATCACATTTCTGGTGTTTTATTATCATGTTATTTTTTGTAAAGAGGATAATGCATTTGTTGTCCTTTCATATGTATCATCACGATCAGGTAAATAAAGCTTAAAGTAGGCAGCACCATTTAAATCCATCTTTTACAACTACAGTTTTTTAATGATTTATATCGTTTTTATTGATTCTTTATCAACTTATACTATAGAATATCACGATTCAAATTTATATGGATTCATTGATCCGCCATGACGTTTATCATAAAAAATTTGTATCATGTTTCTCAAATCACGGGATGTAATCACATTCCCCTCATTTTCATTCAAAAAACAGTAAATGATAAGCTATCAGGATAGGCTATCTCCCGCAGATCTAAGGGAGGGGAAATACTATTTTATTCTGATGGTAAAGTCTGGACTTAGAGATGGATCGGTCCTGGTAAGACCGGTCTTATACCGGTTAATGGGACCGGTCCTTGCGGTCCTCGGTCCATATTCTGAGGACCGGACCGATCCAACTCTAGTCTGGACATCGTCAAAATTGCGCAGAAGAAACGGCACAGTATCTTCAAAAAGGGTTTCGGGATAATCTAACCATTTTGGAAACGTGATGTTCAGCAAAAAATACATTTATATATTACATTTAGCAGTTACTGTAGAATAAGCCCGATATGACCATACATGTCTAGAAGATATAAAATATGGAAAAACTTTAGTAACTGGATGGCTATGCCACTACACTTGAGAAAATTTGACGCAGTAAATTATTATTTCAACTGTTCTAACTGTGTGATCAATATAATCTTGAGTTAGATGACGGTGATCTGCACCATTTCTTCTATACCGATGGTATTACATCTTCCGACCTCTTTCCATTCTTTTCCGAAAGCATCATTAGAACATTTTGTCTCAGGAATTTCGTCCCTAAACTCACTATTTACTAAAGCCCGAGCTTCATCTTTACAAAGCGTTAAAAGAATTTTATTTGCGAAAAAAAATACCGAATGGTGCTATATGTGAGAAATTCATCCGTCGTACATACCTGCATTGTGATCCATTTATCTAATAGCACAGCATGTGGCTCGTCATAAAACCTTCCTCACCACTTCGGTTGCTCCAGGACTAATTGGATTGGTCGGGTTGACATTCACACGTTTGTATATGGAATCTTCACATTTGCAATCATGCTTCCATCTTCTAGAGATGTGCCAATTCTCGAAATAATCCCGATTTCTGGGTATGATACCCATCATGATGTATAATTATAGCTGAAAAAAAAATCTGTCGCCGCATGACCCATTATTTTGTATCACAAATTATATTTTATCGTTACGTACATGTAAAAATGAATGGCAAAGCGTGGCCTCGTTCCCAGTACAATATTTTATTTAACGAAATAAATCATTGCCGGAAGTAGCAACTGATATATATAAAATGACTATTACAAAATATTTTCTAGCTACTGGGAGTCCAATTCAGGTGATATTACTAGCTTCAAAGTGACGAAAATAGAAGACTAATTTGTTGATTAAGTGAAAACTAGACCATAGCTAATTCCTCTCGAAGATTTTGTATTTTCTTGCAAAAACTTCTGTTGCGTGAGACTGGAAGGTGGCGATTCCACTTTCCGGGTTATATGAGAAAACATTGGCCTGTAGCAGTTCATCGGCTATTTGTTCATTGTTGACGAGCTTGATGAATGCATCAAAATGGATTTTTTCATTTTTCACCAACTCCTGGACAATGACCTTGCCAATGACATGATTTCTTTCGCCCTCCATCATTCGAGCCTGGTGAAAGTTGCGATTGGCGTCATCAAGCACGGTTTTACGAATCTCTAAAAGCAACATATTAAATGTAATGAGAACGTTCACACAACGGCCATGCAGAATACCATCATCATTGTCCAGATAGTAAATGCTCTCCCACCATCGAATGTTTCGCCTCTATTTATCCTATCACCATATGTCTTAAGATCATAAATCCGACCGCTTAAGAGTTGGATGAGTTGATTGGCGACCTTTTTCTCAATGCCAAGTTTGCCGTGGAGGAAGGTGAATGCCTCTTTATTAGTTAGGTCTCCGATGACAATGGGGTTTTTATCAGCACGTGACCACGATGATCGTTCTAGAGTAGAGCAAAGAAGCCATCAGCAAGGAACGAGATACAGGCAAATTATATCATACAATACTCACGCATCATCATGCGTGGCACTGTTCTCTCGCTACTGACAAACACAATAACGCAACTGTGCTGGTCAGCATAGAGTTTTGCGATGTCCTGCAGATCCTCCAACATGTTCACATTTTTCTGGCCCATCTTACTTATGTTGTCAAGGATCAAAACTGGAGGTTTGCCATTATTTGCCTTGTATTTTCTAGCAGCTTTGTCGAAGGCATTCAGGACACGAGAAACCTTGGACCGTTCATCTATAAAACAAGAAGTGAGTGCAGAGTAAACACAAGTATTTCTTTACAATAACCTTACATGACTCGCTTTTGCCTAGAATATTCCGCGTCAATGAGTCAATGAAAGATTCATTATCCCTGAATGAAATAGCTTTTGCAAGATCATCAATGAAGTCATCTAACATAAGGGGGGCATTAACATAAATGATCCCTTTTCCAACTTTCCTAGCACACTGCCGGACCTCCCAGTTCCGTGGTTCCCGACAACGACGTGATAAGAGCTATGTTTAGAGGGCGGCTTGAGAATTCGTTCAATTTCCTTGATAACATCTTTACGGTCAATCAGCTCTTCCTCCTCAACATCAAGGTTTGGACAGAAACCGTGTTCAAAGGCATAAAAGAGATTCCTCTCATTTTGGTTGTTGTACCAGTTGGTGTAAGTACGGTCAAATAATATTAGGATAATCACAGGGGAGACCCACTTTGTAATCTTCCAAGTGGACTAGCATTGTCAAGGTGTAAGTCAGAACACACTGTCTGCAGGCCGAAAAGAACATATTGATCACAAAGACAAAAAAAGGTACAATACCAAATCCTTTTTTGCGCCCTCTTTTATGTCCTCTTGTAATTTTCTTACTCCAGCTTTCAGGGAATCCTTGGCATATGAGGAGATATGGGTATGGGTGTTACGAGACTGCGACGGCCATGTATGTAAACTTGGCCTGTGGAGGCCGAGAACTGTGGTGTACCTGACCAACATGGTTTGTGTTACATTAATGTTTTATTATCAGGTCACGTGAGTTAAAAATCATCCAGCAAGGATTTTCCGAATAGCGTAATTAGTTTAACCAACTTGGTCGACTTTTGTATCACATAAATTTACATAATTTTAAAACACTAACGTTAAATCGGAAAAAATTATTTTAAAACTATAAAAAGTACTAATAAAAATATTACAATAAAAATTTGAAAGCCCTTATTTTTGAATTAATGATTAAAATATTATCTAATCCACGTTTAAAATTTATATTCATGAAAAACAAAATTAACATTTACAATTGATTTTGCTGCTTTGCGACAAAAGTCGTCAAATGAGACCACAATTATTAAGATTACATTATAATGTTAGGTATTATGTAATTACAATCGTAAAAATGGGTATTTGGAACGTTGGAAAAGGTGTTTTTTTATAATAGAGTTAAATTATTCGTCAATTTTATAAAGAAGCAGGAAAAATCAAAATACCAGAACATGCTACATTAACATTTACGAATCTTTTTAATTTGTTTAATAAATTCAGCACCACCCAATTGAATTAAAAGTTGAGCCAACAAGCATCGTAATGAATGAAATTGCCCTTTTAGTCATTACTAATAACGTAGGTGCAACGTAAGGAATATACACTCCAAGTAAATCTTCTGGTTGACATAAATCTTCATGCCTATTAATAAAGTATTTTCCTCCTTCGTTTTTTTGAAGGTTAAAAATGATGTAAAGCCTGTAAAGAAAATCATTATCATACATTGAATATAATTTGATATTTCTTAAAATCAAAGATATTCTTTTTTTGTTATTACCTTAAAGGAGTCTGTCTCCATGGAGAATAAATAAATTGGATATATTCAGTCACATCAAGGACCATCCTGCCAGATGGTTCATTAAACCCTAATAAGATGTTACTCAAATGTCAGTGAAGAAGAAAACGGGCTATATGGAAAAAACTTACACTTTTCATGGATATCTAGAGTATTACTCCGGTAAACTCCTACAATACAATAAGAACATTATTATGAGAATAATAAAATTTCATTATAAAATAAGTTTTCTCACCTCGGAAAAATTTATAATGGGAAATGATTTTTTCTCTGGATCCAATTCCAGCAGGAACAGTTGCTAAAAAATGTTTAAATTCAGAATTGTGAGTAAAAGTTCTTTTGACCTCCTTTTCTAAGGCGGATTTATCAGGATTAGTAAAGATGTTATATAAAACATTTGAGATTTCGTCTAATGGATTATTCATTTCGAAAATGAAAGAAAACGAAAACTAAAAGAGAAGGTATCTTTTATAAAAATAAAGTGGCATAAATATTACGTATAAGATATGTAATAAACCGTAACATCATGTGATCGTGTGAACTTAGTAATATTAGCGTTAGCGTTAGTGTTTAATTTAAAGATAGTAGTAACGACAATTCTATTGTAAGCTTCTGCATTTGCATCCATTTTGCCCTAAATAAGGGGAAAATTTTTTTAAGAGTGGTGAATCACTATTAACAAAAGGTTATATTCATATGATTTTAGAACGAACAAAACCATACGGATGTGTATGAAAATATTTATATATATACGTTTTTAATTTACACGAAATAGAAATCTCAAACTTTATAATTCAATTTTGTATTGTATCTAATACTTCGCAATTGTTATGCATGCCGAACTTTTGGTAAAATAAAATGGTGACCAACTACTTTTGACTTTTGCTTTTCCGAAAGAATTAACTTTTTTGTGATCGAGTCTTCAATCCGATTTAAAAATGGTTAGCTATGCACACTTACTAATTGATATCAAGGTTAAGTCAATTCAGACGCCGCGACAATCAGTTCAGTAGGAGTTGATCCCCACAACGACTCTCTTTATTTTGGGACCCTCATCACTCTCATAAGATAGTGAAAAGTCGCGATATATGGGAAGATTGCTAGGAAAATCAGGTTCCGAGAACATTTTAATCTTATCGTTATATTTTTTTTTTTTGACGATATCTATTTGTACAGCATGACCAAATTTTCATCTATATAATATATCACATGACTATAATAATTACAAAAAAGATCGATATCTGTCAAAATTATCAGTTGTCATTATTTGCAGGGTCTAATTGCTCTTCAATCATTTTTTTGTCGATCATTTATATGAAAAACATAAGATCCGTCTAATATGATTTATTAATATTCTTATCTAACAACCATATTATAGATAATAGGAATATACTCTGACTGTTTTAAGAATTTATATTAATCATTTTTTTTAACATTCATTATTTCAAACTTTCAACTTGCTAATACTGCAGTCAAATACAAATTTATACAGGGGTTGTTTCTTTTTTAATTTTTGGGCAACGTTCATTAAAATTAAAGCATAAATTTTGCGTAAAACAAATTAAATGTTAGTTATTAGATTTGAAAAAAAAACCCTCATTTTCTTAATTATTCACTTGTATTATTAATAATAAAAATAAAATAATGATAAATAAATATTTTTTCATTATAATTTTAATTATTGTCCGAAGGACTTCTATGTACAATAACTTTATTTATAAATTATCAAAACTTAGTTCATAGTTTAACTTTTAATTATGAAAATATTCTTACAATTTATCTTTATTTTACTCATAAAAATTAATTAAAGAAAGAAATTATTTTTTTCAATAAGTTTTTATTATCATTAAATATATATACTGTATGAAAATCGTTTAGGATCGACATATCCTATAACTACAGTATTGTCGAAATTTTTTTCAGCATATTCATCTTGTTTAGCATTTAAACCTCTTCGATATTTTTTCAAATCAAATATATAAATATTATGATGTATTACATTATTTACATAAAATCCATTTATATTACACATAATTTTAGGCTGAGAGCCAAAGTTAAAAGGCCAAATCAGAATCAAATATAATAAATTCCATAATTTAAAGTTTATAACTTTTGAGACAGTAACCTGATTTTAATTATTTTAACATAATTTTATTATATATTTTATAAAAATCCTTTTTTTATCTTCTATTAAATAATTTTTTATTGAATAATAAAGATAACTTTAATTATTTAAAGCATAGTGGAGTTCTATTTACTTTTATATAATTCAAATGTAATATCCTAATGAATACATAAAAAAAATAAACAATATTAAATAAATTAAATTAATTAAAATGTGTTACATAAATTTATATAAAAGAACATGATCTATTATCTAATTTTTAAAAGTTTAATAATTTACATATAAATAAATTAAAGATAAATTAAAGAAAATAATAATCAAAACATGTGAAATTCTAATATCATAACAGTATAATAGCAATTAAAAAATTCATTTTAATAAAACATAAAGAATTAATTTTGATAAAGTATTCAATTTTGAAAACAATAATCATTTTAATTGTAAAAGTAATAAATAATTATTTTAATAAAGAAATAATAATCTTTGAATAAAACTTTGAATTATTTTTTATAATAAATTTTTAATATCTAAATTCTCATTTGATAAAAATAAAATCAATTTTATTTATTGAATTTTATTATGTTATCTATTATTCAAAGTAAAAAATAGTTTAGTCAAGCTATTAATTTAATATAAAAATAAGAAAAAAAAAGCTTTAAAAACTCAAATAAATATAAAAAAATTATTTTACTAATCGTGAAAATAAAGAAAGAAAAATTATTTTTAATATCTTTCTAAATTTGATTATAAGCTTCTTTAAAAATTTTATATTGAAATGAACAAGTTTGAATATATATTTTATCCTATTTGCAATAAACATTTTTATCAATTAATTTTATTATTAAAAAGTACTATTACTATTATAATGATAATATAAGATAAAAATAATTATTACTATTTTAAAATTATTATTGATGATAAAGATGATACTGCAACTAGTTGCAATTATATGATACTTATTTGTTACCTATTACAACTAGTTGTAACTCAATTTTTATTAATATTACAATTAGTTATAATCTGTGATGCTTATTTGTCACTAATTACAACTAGTTGTTACGTCATCTTTAATTAATAATAATGTATTACATTTATATCTAATAATAGTCCTATTAATAGTTATATTTTATAACTTAAAATATAAAAATATAAAAAATAAACTTTATATATTTATAAGAATATAATTAACAATTATAATAATAATATAATTATAAATAATTTTATTCTAGTTTTATTTACATTATATATAATATATTTCATTTATACTCAAAATAAAATAGTATAATTAAACTTATAAATAACTTTTTAAATATATAAAAAAAATAAAACTAATAAAATGAAAATTTAAAACATAAGCTATAAAACTATTAGTTTTTAGTTTATTATAAATCTTTATAGTTATTAATATCTAAAATTAATACATTTATATAGAAATTAGTCTAATTTTAGAATAATCAATTTTTATATATTACTGTAATTTTTCATTATATTTAAATATTACACAATTAGTTAATTGTTTAAATTAATTTTCACAATACTTCTTATTTCAAAAAGTATCTTACAAAAATTAATTTTATAAAAATAATGAAAGATTTAGAAAATTCAAAAAATTTAAAACATTAAATTTGAGAATCTTGAAGTTGAAAAGAATATAATAGTTAATAAATAAAGGGATAAAGAAAATAATGACTATAAAGATATAAATTTAAAAAATAAAAATTGGTAAATAAAAGAATTTTATAAGATATGTAAAAAATTTTAATAATTTAGTTTTAAAAGTTAATTTAATATTAAATAAAAAATATGATTCTTATTTTGTTAGGCTGATAAAAAAATCCATATTAAAAAATATATTTAAATATTTTATAAAGGATGCTTTTTCTTTAAATATAGTTGATGAAACTTTAAATATAGAAATGAAGAAGATAATTAGATATTTAAAGAAATTTTAAATAATAGAGATAAAGAAAATAGTTAGACTTGAAAATATTTTGCAAAAATTTATAATATTAAAAAAAAATTAGAAAAATCTTATAAAAA